TGATTTTGTTACGGTGTAGCCACACCATTGTGTGATTACACCCACGTGTGTAATTCACTCCTTTTTACTAACACACAATCTTGAGTGATCCACCTCTTCATACCAGGGTACGTGTAACCCCATTAAGGATTTGGTGGTGTGTTTCTAGAAAAGTCAGATGCGTTGTAGGATGGACAATGGATCAGTCGAAAAAAGCAGAAGTGTGGTAGGAACTGTGAAAATTTCGACGAGGTATGCTTAAAATTAGCAAATGTCCTTGTCAAAACCTTAGCTGTGAACAGACATGTTGCGGCAGCAGTGGTTGCATCCAGGCACTGAGTGTAGCAGGAAACGATTGAAAGTATTGCATCGCGGAGGTTGACAATCATCAAGCCGGCTTTGATCAACGATAGTAAGAGCAGTATGCTGATCATCCCTTGCCATCACATATCGAAAAGACTGAGCACTTCAACCAATCCGAAAGCATGGACATGTATATGACAAGTAGTTTTATGCAGGCCACAACATGCGTTTGTACCTTGTAACTGATAGTGAAGGCTATCAAATGCGCTAGCTGCCCCACAAATCGACGATCAAGAAGAATGTACCTTTTTTGTCTGCGGCTTTTGCTGTTCTCTCGACTTTGCGCACAAAATCATGTCTGTTGCACTCGCCTCGTATCCGGGCGCCCTTTCGTCCTTGAATGTCGTGTCTTCACGAGTCACCCAGCCAAAGATCTGGGTACGCGCCGAGTATCTACAGTATCTAGCGTAGTATCACGAGGTGGCTCATACAAGATTGTGTGACCCACCCCTTCGTATAAAACCCCCGTTACACTCTCCCCCATCAAAATTGTGACTACCCATAATTCACATTTACTGTCGCCTCGTAAGATCTTCTGGTGTCTGAGACATCGTAACGTCCCTATTACCACCTTCACGCATTCTCTGCTTAATGGGTCCTGTGTTTCTTACACGAAAAATACCCAGCCCCGCTGGTTTCCGAAACTACCCGCGGATAGAGCCCTTCGTCGTCTCCTGCACGCGGTGCAACTCCGGACAGTACGTCTGCGGCTTCAAGGGAAGCACATCCAAAGCCCTCGGCAGTCGGGCGCCGCAAAATGAGCCCTCCACGGGCGATGTATTGCGTCGTGGAGGATTTGGAGGAAGTCGACTACGAGTCAGATACTCCTATAACAGGATGGGGGGATAAGGAAGGTGAGGTGCTTCAACAGCGCGATGTGAGCTCTGCTCAAACCTTACGGACACTATGTCCGTTTCCAACCTCTCGACTTCCGGGGGAAGTGGTATTATTACCAATCGCCTCGATGAGGCGCAGAACCAGCAGCTGGACGCTGCCCACAGGGCGGCTTTCATGCGCTCGTATCCGCATTCGATTCGTGGTTATCGTGTGATAT